AGCACTGTAGGCTCTGTGCCATGCTTTCCAGTGGGCTGTTTGCTTATATAAAATGAGTTTCTATCAAAAGCTCCCTCTATATCAAGGAATGCTCCTAAGGCAATATCCTTGTGTTCGATTGCACTTTCTATGTGTGTTACCACATTGTGTAGTGCGGTTTTGGTAGATTTACCTGTTTGTAGGCATGCTGGTTTCGGTGTAGAGGATATGTCCTCCCTGATATGCCTATCCACTATTTTCTCCATCGTTTTCAATAGGAAAGACAACAGGCTGATAGGACGATAAGCCTTAGCCTTGGTGTAATCAAGTTTCCTGTGCTTTGAGATAAACGTCACCTTAACTTGCCTCCAGGCCATGGGGATAAAACCATATGCCATGCAGGCTATATGTATATGCGGCATAGGTGCGGAACTAAGAGTTCCACCCCATGCTGCAAAAGTGCTGCTACAATGCCATCTGTTCCCACTGACTTAAATGGTCTAAAGGTATTCAGTGCCCATCTGACTTTTGATTGGTTAATTATGACTTTGGCCAGGTTCCACTCTGCCATGTTTGTCCTGCTGACCCTGTCCATCGTCTAAATTATCAATCAGTTTCGAATCAGGAAAGAGAACTCTGAATAATTCTTTCAGTGTCTCCATTCCTGTTTGAGTATACTGCCCGTTAGGCAGCTTAATCTTGCTGACCTTATTGGTTGCCTGTTTTGCCGTGATCCTCATGAGTCTGGCACAGCCTGATACATCCTTGATCTCCTGGCAGTGCCTCCTCCATGAGGATCTCTTGGCTTTCCTTATTTTTTTGTTGTAACAGGTAAGGGCTTCCTTGTAGGTGTCCCACTGCCCTGTTATTTTAGCTGTATTAATGAATGTATAAGGGGTGGGCCTTCTTGGCCCTTGCACCGTGACCACAGTGGTCTATTGTGCCTTTTAGCTATATTAAACAGCCTTCTTGTTTTGGTTCTAAGCCCACTTGGCTGTTTACTCCACAAAGGGGCACTCCTTGGTTCGTGAGTGGTCTTAACCGGACAACTGTGATAGATGGATGAGATAATAGCCCATTGCAACTGGTCAACAGACCAATCAGCATCCTTTATTGTGCTTATATTTCGCAAGATGGTCTCCAAATTTACCTTTAGGTCATCTTTATAAGATTCCCAGTTGGTTCTCTTAGTAGCTTGATCTACTGTAATGTTGCTTGTTTGAAAGCATATATATCTGTAATCTGATAAGGATGGCTCATCGGATACATACCAATTACTTATCAGGTTTCCTACTTTATTGGTCCCTAGTGTCAAGTCGATAACCTCCTGCCTATTGCAGACCACAAAGGTAGGCTCATTACCTTGGTTTAGAATATTTATATTTGAACTCACCAAATATTCCATCAAACATTCTCCTCTTGGGTTGATGTCAGTGATGTGTGGGGCGCGTTGGCGTCACACCCAATGATGAGCTGCTTTTTCCTAAGATGGCAGTATTCAGCGATGTCCCTCACTTCTTTGGAAGGTGGTGGTTCATCCAAGTCATATGGAAGATAGGCTGAAGTGATGATGAGCCCCTCACAGCCTCCGCCCAATGTGTATGTCATCCTCACTGTTGTTGAGTCTCTAGAACAAAACTCCAGCAAGGGTAAAGCATTAATATGATTATTAACATATATGCATGATCTCACATTTTCTCCAGGTACGACAGAATAAACTGTTCCCCCTGAATTCTTTAAGCCTCTTATTTGGCCCCTAATTTAATTAATTCGCTTAGTGGGGTGTGGAATCCAGCTGGGTTCACTCGGCACAGCGGCCACTGATGGGCCCATTGTAGCCTGCCCTGGGTGATTATGATGATGGAGAATTTTGTGGAATGAAGATTGGCAGGGGAAACCGAAGTACTCTGAGAAAACCCGCCCAAGTGCCACTTTGTTGACCACAAATCCCACTTGACCAGACCCGGGATCGAACCCGAGCCGCTGCGGTGGGAATCCAGTGACTAACCACTTGAGCTATGGTGCTGCCCATTTGGCCCCTATATATCCAAGGTTTCTGAATAAGTGCTACGTCTACTTTTCCCTCAGCAAGTTGTCAACATAAAATTGCTGTAGCAGCCTTGCTGTAGTGTAGGTTAATTTGAATGAATCATATGTTGTGTGTATGTATGTTATGTGCTCATTCTGTAATGCTGGGAAAGGTGCCCTCCTCCATACCTTCCACCACAGCCCCTTTTCTTTTATCAGACCTGATTTCCTCCAAGGGAGGTCCCTGATCTGGTAAGATTGGGTTGACGAGAGGAGGAATTGTCTCGTTCTCATCAGATACTCTCTTCTGGTCAACTGAGGGAATGGGTACATCATTCCCCTCCCCCTCAAGAGGCCGATTCTGAGGGTTTTGAACTGGGCACAGCAACTTCTTTATGCCGCTGTGCCTCAGGATCTTGCAGGGCTCTAACAGTTCCCTGTGAGAGTCCTGTGTATACCCTATGTCCAGTTCCCTTGATAACAGATAAGGAATCCCAATCTATAATGAGGATCAGACTTTGCCCTTTCGGTTCAGATTTCCTATCCAGTATCCTCCAACTCTCAGTATGGAGACCTGGATTAAGATTCCCGATCCATTTCAGCAGCTCCGCAGGATTTTCGGCAACTTTGTCCTTCCTCTTGAGAGCCACCTATACAGGTCTGAACAGGTTCTTGGCGTCAGTAATCTTCAGGCTAGCCCCTGATTTTAATATGTGATTATCTGTGGTTCTAACGAGCCACTGTCCAGACTCTTTGTCGGCACATGTATATATTAATGCACCTCCCTCCAGTCTGTATGATTTTAGGCATGGTAGATCTCCCAAAGGAGTCCTACGCCTGTCTCAGTTCCTCCAGAATGGAGTACTGGTCTCCCTCTGTTAGCTTGTCTTCAGGATACATTTCCTTGAAGATAGCTACCTTTATATTCGTCAGAGCCTCCTTGTAAGTCCCTGGGCCTTTTCGGAGCTCTGGCCATTTCTGTAAGGGTACTGCCCTCCAACCTTGGCCTCTTAAAGGTCCAGGTGGGAGTTTCTTCCTGCTTGGGCGAGTGTGCATTTCCTGGTTGCTGACTGCCCCCAGTTCCTGCTTTGCTTGCCCCAGCCTTTGTCTTTTTTATTTTCCGTCTAGCGCATCCAGACGGCCTTCTTCGCTAGACGGGGTCCACCTACTCCAGAGACTAGGTGTCACAGTCCTTCTCCTACTGCAGGTGTGCTAGAAGTACTAGCCCCTTGTAGTGGTATGTCAGTACTACTGACTCCCAAGAGAGGAGTTTTTGGTTTTACCTCAGGTAGGTTTTGAACCACTGGTTCTTCCCTGCCTTTGGCTGAAAGTTCAACAGCAGGTTCGTTGGTTGCAACTGGGTCCCTTAGTGGTTCACCAGAGCTTCCAGCCCCCTGCTGGAGCATTTCTCATAGGGATCCCCTTGGAGGGGACACTGAAGGTTAAGTACAGTATGTAGTATTTATTATTGAAACTTGTTTTAGGATATCTTTTATAAAGTGTAATAGAAGATTTAGAAGGAAGCTTCCTAGCATTTTGCTTCCTTAGTAAACAGTACAGCAATTGTCGAATAGATTTTGAGAAACGGGTTCCTTTTTAGAGAAGAACAGAAGTGAAAAAGACATGTTCATGCAGAGCAAACACTAGGTAATGCTGGAGCTCATTTAGAAGATCCCCATGAAAATCTTTACTTATTTCAATATAGCAGTGCATCATAGATATCCCTGCACTGGGGTTCAAGGTTGCTTTATTAAAAGTGATACTGATTTACATTGGTTCAGAAACTACATGAGTCAAACAGTGTTGTGAGGGTGTGCTTTTATAGCTGATGTGGTGACACAGTGTGTATGGCTGTATGAGCAGTAATGCAGTCTTGTTGGGAAAGATGCAGACTAGTATCGTCTGTTAGACATTTTACAAAATGGCTGAGTATTTGTTCCCTTTGCCTTTTAGAATCGAGTGTGTCCTCTAAGAAAATCGGTTTTACTTTATCTGTACTCTTCACTGTATCATTTTAGAACTGTGGAATGGAACCTGCTGTACTAATCCCAGATTGTATGAACTCCAGTATGGGTTACCCTGTTGCTTTATGTCAGCATGCAAGAAGCCAACCCTTGTTGGAAAGGAAAATTAGGCAGTAGTCAGTTTTGCCATCTTGAAGGGCCTGAAGGATCCATCTACTAAAATTTGGTCTGATAGAGGGTCATATGATTGCAGTTCTTATACTGCTGTTATCTCGAAAGGTTTTGTGGCAGTTTGCACTCATGATTTTTATCCTTTTGTCTTCTGTGCAAAACATCTGTGGATTTTCCAAGGCAAATATTCAGTCTTACAGCCAAGTTCATCCCATTTCTCTTTAATGAACAGTCAGTGTTTCAGTACTCCCACCATCACTTTTATCTTAATTCATTTGCAGTTCTGTAATTAGTTTCTCAGTGTGGAAGTGTAAAATCATGAAATTTTTGCCAAATCGTATAGTTAAAATAATTCTTACATAACACTATCAAATGCATTTTGTTTTATATCTGTAGTGGGGCACATGGTAGCATAGTTGGTTGAGGCACTGTGCAACAAGCCGGTAGGACATGGGTTCGATTCTTAATGAGGTCATTGGATTTTTCAATTGACTTAATCCTTTCAGCTGCACTATAGCCCTGGGGTTGACTCGGCCTCTGACAGAAATGAGTACCAGGAATATTTCTAGGGGTAAATGGTGGTCGGCGTTTACAGTCTCATCGCCATCTGTGAGCCAGTTGTCTAGATAATGCGGGACCCTTGACGTCTCACAACCCTATGGACCTCCATGACCTGTTACAGGGATAGCTTTATCTTTATCTTTGTCGTGGCAGTTGGACATACACTAGGTGGGGAATTTATTCAGTATGAAGCTCAGGAGGTAGAAATTGGTGGAATTGTTATGTGTAAGCTGTCCGTTAAATATTTTGGTAACATTAGGGAGCTGGGAATTTTAGCACTTTTCTGTGTTTGTTTAGATATTGAGTACCTGAAACAAACACTTCCCCAGACAATTGAACCTGAGTTCTTTGTGTTCCTACGGCAACTGACAGTGGAAGATGTGATATTGTCTGCCATTGATGAAGGTTCTGTGGCATTCCCAAGGTAATTTAAGCTGTTCTGAATTTGTATTTTCTTTAAATATATTTATAATGACATTAGATTAAAAAGCCTTATATTGCAGCATCTTTATATTCTGCTCTAACAGTAGCTTAAACATAAGAATTTTAATTTATGTTTTGTAATGGTGTTATTTGGATCCTATGGCTTGCAGTGTAACAGAACCACATTGTATTATATTTGTTGTATTTGAATTGATATATTTGAATATAGAATTGGCCAAGAAATTGGCAATAAATATTCTACATAAGAAAATAAAAGCCTGTTGCTTATTTGTCAATACATGTTATGTGTCAGAAAAAACAGTCATAAAATAAGAAAAAATCATGTGCATGGATGAGCTTAGAATATGGCTGGGCAAAGTTTCTAGTAAGTAGGGAAGTTTCGGCAGGCCAAAATCAATACCAGTATTTGCACAGAAGAGATGTGTTAAGATTGTTGGTCATACTTATTCTGTGTGATTTAGTCTTGGATGATTTTGGCAGAATTCCTGTACTAGAGATTAATATAGTGTCCTGTGGATTGCACCTGTGGACCAAGTTGTTCACTGATGTCTCAGATTGTTATCTGACAGTGTTTGTTTATATTCTGCTATCTTGTGAAATAATTGTTATTATTTTGTGTAACACCAGCACTTGAATTCTTCTGGAATTGTATATGAATATTCAAAGCTTCTGTTGATATTGCCAGAAATTCAGCAACTGGTACATACTCAGTTTAGGAATTAACGGAAGTTCATTATTCAGATGGGTATTTTTTGTTAGGATCCCATTGATGCGTGTAGAAGGTCCATTGATAATTGTCCAGCTGTTGGAGACAACTATGCTCACACTTGTCAACTATGCCAGGTGAATACATACATTTTTATCTTAATAATTGTGTTTCATAGTTAGAAAACAATTTGTTATATTTTTTATTTAGGAAATTTTGTTTTATTTTTTTCAACTTTGTATTGATGCCACTGTGTACCTTGATGCATGATATGGAGCCATCATATGTGATATAGGCAGAGAGATGGCTGTATTATGGAGAAAGTGTAATATGATATTTTGAATTGTGTTGGTTGTGTAGGTATATTGTACATTTTTCAAATCCATCTTACATGATCGACAACAGATTAGTAATTTGGTTGTACCAATTCTAAATGTTATTCTAGCCACTTAAAAAAAAAAATAGAAGAAAAATAATTCCTGAAGTAATAATTTGAAGATGAGTGTAGAGAAATGTCCAGGGAACATTCAGTACATAAATTTGAAAAACACAGTTAAGTGTCTGAATCCAGATAATTTACTTGTCTATACAGAAATCTTATCTAATAATAATAATAATAATGCAGAGTAATTAAGATAATGAAGCCCTATCCTGCCACATGGGGTTTACACATTGTCTAGGCCTGGCATGTCACTTCAGCAAGGGATTTATGATGAAATATTAAAGTGTTACAAATTAAATTGTCATAACGTGAGGTTCATGTAGAACAACTTAGTCTGTTGATAAATCATGTTTTGTTAGATCATACACTGTGCAAGAGAAATCATGCCAAGGTCAAAATATGACCAGCTCAGCCTTGGTGTGATATCTCCCAGAGATCAGGGAAAGAGTTACAAAGTGAAATTATGATAGCACTGTATTTTGCAACAGTGAGATTGTGTGTAACAGTCATGTGCTAATTGAAACTGAAAGTTTAATAAAAGTTGTATGATTAAGAAGAGATAAGAAAAATATTAAAATGGAGACCAGAACACTAAAATAAGGACATAACAAAGGTAACTGATGACTGTAGTTTGTGCAGTAATTTTGTGTTGAAGTTCATTGTTTGTTGCAGTTTGATGGCAACCAATGCTGCAAGATACCGACTGGCTGCTGGAAAGCATATCTCACTGTTAGAATTTGGTTTGAGGCGAGCACAGGGTCCAGATGGAGGGCTGTCGGCCTCCAAGTATTCATATGTTGGTGAGTGTTCGTGTATATTGAGTATACCCATTACTTTCTATTTTTGTATACGTCCTCATTTCAGAAGCAACTTTTCTTGGGATGCTGCTCTGCTAAAGAACTAGCCAATTGCAGTGTATGGTGTTTGTTGCATACTTCCCAACATCAGTTCATTTTCCTTTAATTATTTTTATACATTGGAACAGCTTAGTGAGCTGAAAGCAAAGGAAAAGCAAGGCTTGTATTATGTTGATATTGTGGCACATAGATTGTTGCTAAGCGGTGACTCTGTAAACAGTGGCTGTTGTTAGGTAATATCCTCAATATGCATGCATTCAACAATAAAACAGTGGGGTTATGCAACCTATTTTTAAGCAACGGTTCAGTAAACACATTTCTGCGGCAATGGACACCAATGCAACAGTAGAAGAATGGTGTTTTCTACGTGGACCATAGGGAGAAGTTATACTTAGGACAGTTTGAAGCAACCAAGCAGTTGTTGGTTGGAGTTGTCAGCAGGTCAGTTATGTGAAGTGACATGAAGTAGCTTGTTGGTGTGTGAGAGACTGGCTATTGGAGACTGTAATAGACTGAGGACACTAGTCTGTGTATGTCAGTGATATGTAAAGTTTAGTTCCAAATGGTGTATACAAGTGCTCAGTACATATTCATAGATATTCATAAATGAATCATGGGGACTTATTTTACTTAAATTTATGTTGGTTTATGAAAATCCATAATTGAACCTTAAAGCTGTTGTCTTTGCTGATTAAAATTAAAGCCTCTATTCTCAATATTCTTCATATTTTAGCAAACCAGTAGCAGATGTTATATAACACAATACACAAAACTGGAATGAACTGTTAATAGGATCCCCTTAAAATTTTAAACATTAACTCTGAAGATCTTTGGAAAGGTCTCGAAAACAGTGGCAAATTTCTGTTTTGTTTTGAAATACCTGTTACAAGTTAGTGGTGTCATATATTTTGAGGAGCAATGATGTTTCAGTCAAAATTTAAAAATCCATAAAACAGTAAATAAATATTTGTCCATATAGTGACTAGACTGTGGGCTAGATAACCGAGGAATGGAGGGGCAGAGAATTTCTCTTCTCACCTGCATACAGAATTGTTTTGGGGTCCCCCCAGCCACCTATCCAGTGGATAACAGAGGTACTTTCCCTGAGGATTTCATTATTGAATAAAATCTGTTGCTAGCAGAGTGTAATGCTCATTTATGGATGGAAACGATATGAAGAAAGGCAGGTTTTATTTTTAATATCTTCATTTAAAGTTCCTCAGTTTGAGGTTTTCCCCTTGCTTTGACCAATGCCAGATCAGTCACGCTCATTTTACACGTGGCCATTTGTTAAAATGTATTCCAGTGCCTGTTTGTAACCATTGTTGTGTGACACTTAACCTTTTTACACATCCTGCTGTAATGTCCATTTTATGACTATGAATGTCAAACATTCAACTTTCATGGCACTTTTCTGACATCTTAGGAATTTTTTGCTGTAACATAGTGGCATTTGTTTCTGGTATAGGGGTTGACAAATTTATATGACTTTATTTTATTCTGTTTAAGGCATTTTGTCTCCATTCTTATAAGGTCTGATTGGCCCATGTGCAGCCCGTTTTATTTAAAACTTTCAACCAAATATTTATTGATATTTTGTTGTACATTTTTACCCACTATTAGACCACTTTACAGTTGATACATGTTAAATTTTATTAATTTTGTACTCAGCCTCATGATGATAATTGAGGAGCTATTTCAAGGAAATAGCAGCTCTGGCCTAGAAAACCGAAATTAACGGCCATGGGGATTCGTTGTGCTGACCACGCGACACCCTCTATCTGTAAATTTTGGCACTAAACTTCACCAAGAAGCGGCGATTGCTTGGTCGGTTTGCTTGCGGACTGAGATCACAGAGTTTTTTTTTATCTTTTGTAAGTTTTCTGTTCTTTTGTGTGATTATTTTGATCATTTATTCCCTCAGAAAACCATATGCTTTGATCTTCTTAATAGCTCTACTCTAAAGTACTTCTCTTATTATTTATTTACTCTGTGTCTTTTTTTAATCCATCTTGTGGGTAATCAAATGGGTAAAATTGCCGAAATGTGATCTGATTCAATGAGTCAGTAATAAACTTTTGGTAAAGTTCTGTTATGTAATGTATAATCAGTGATTGACTTTTGACCTCTTGCTGATTACGTGTGTTTCCAACTGTCTTTGTGTTGAAACAAACTACAGTAAAATCCTGATATAGTGCCCCTCTCTACTATCACTCCCCCATGTGTCACGCTGCCAATGTGTGTGGCAATACTAATGTACATTTTTGTTTCCACCAGCTATACAGACAGCTCCCTCATATATATATATATATAGTTGTAAAAATACTGTGTTCTATAATTTTTGTGCTGACAGATGAAACATACTGAAGCAAGAAGCCTCCTGTTAGGCCTTGGGTAGATAGTTGGGTTGTTGCTTGATGTCATTGGTATAAAGGTGACATTTCAAATCCAGGAATTTATAGGAAATAGATCTGGTGTTGAGAGTGGCATTGCTTTGAAAATGGAAACATTTCAAAGACTTAGCTGTGTACAGTAACATATTGTGGTGTGTAGACACATTGCTATGCAGTGAATCTGTAAGCATTGGCCGTTGCTAGACAATGCCCGCAACACACACACACACACACAGTGAACAGTACAGGAATGGTGTTTTCTATGTCCGCGGAGAGGCCGTTGCTATGCAACGTATGCTGTGACATCACACAACAGTAGTGAGTAGTGATCACGTGACACATGTTTACTTCGATGGATTGTCTGTCCCACGCCTATAAAAGTGAGCAGTAAGATGAAGTCAGTCGAAGCTGGAAGAGCAAATTATAACTAGAAGTAGAGTGACAGTCCTGAATTCTGAGTTTGTTGTTGTAGAGAAAGAAAATAGCAGCGATGGAATGACATGAACGGAGCAAAATGGAACCAGGAGTACAGAAGAATACAGGAGGTCGGTCTGTGAGGATTTAAAATGTGATTGGAAGATTTTATGTGTAATATTTATAGTGATTTGAAGTTATAGTTCCTGTATTGGGATCCGTTGCTAGGAGACAACTAGTGGAAACAGAATTCTAGTGTGTGTGCAATGGTGAACTGGAAAGTGTAAATCAACGATAGTGCTGTATTGCCTGTATTTAAGTGTAATTAAGAGAGAGTGTGTAACCAAAGTGCTAATAAATCCAATCGTCCGAATTAGAACCTGTCATTTTCATTATGCGTACCACCCTACACATCACAATATGAAATTCCAAGGATTCCAGTAAAAGAGGTACAGATACACCCGCCCCCCTTTATTGTGCTGTTTGACAGGTTTAGTGGCATAAGATGATTTCAGGGGTGGCTAAGATGTTTGTTGGAAAACTCCATGAGTGTTTTGAGCTGGCCTCAGTAAGAAAGATTGTAACAGAAAGTTAAAAAAAAATGTATATGTATTTTATGACATTATTGTAAGATGGTACTGTTAACATAGTTGTTAAGTACAGATATTGCATTTACTTCGCAATTTTGCTAGGCAAAAGCAAGTAAACAGCAGTTGCTAGGGAACTTGTAAACACGGTATCTGGCAACAGCAGTACCTATTATGTAACCGTTTTCTATATGTCCGACTCTAGGCTACATAAGAAGATACACTGAGTTACAGTGACAGTCTAGTTCTACCGTTCTACAATACCAGTTCAGTGTTCAAGCATTTCACTATTGTTATCCGTCTGTGTATACTGTGCAGCTACAATAAATCCTATAGGACAGTTCAACTAGTGGTTGTCTCTTCATACGACATCCCACAACCCACAAGATCCAAGTTGCATTATTTGCACACTTTATGGGACTGTAATAATTAATAAACAGAAAACACCCTCAAGTTGTGGACAGAGAATACCACTATAATAGGCTTTGAATGTATTAATAATTTCTATATTGTAATATAGAACATTTCTGTTTCAAGTATTTTCCCATTAGGTTCAGTATTATGAATATTAATATTGTCAGCTTAGCAAAGAAATAAAGCAACAAAGAAACAGATTAGTGGAGGTTGTAAGAATTATTCCTGCAGCTAAATTTTAGTGTCTGGTAATTGCATAACATGAACATACCTGGGACATTTAAATATTTATAGTCACTTTAAAGAGCGTTAACAAAATTTTTCATCAGTCTGTTACAAAAATAGAAACAGTTTCTTCACAAAGGTGATCTGTGAAAGTTGAGCAGTTGACCCCTTGAAGGACCTTGGAGTGGGGGGAGCACCTGCAGCTGATGTTCCCAAGTTGTCAGTGGGTTTTTGGTGCACTTAGTAGGGCCCCTTAAATTGGCCAGCTGCAGAACCACTCCTCTTGGCCTAGAGAAGTTAGCAGTGCCCACTCTTCCTCTTCCCCCAGCCAATTATTATTTTCAAAATGGGATCCTACAGACACTCAACGAACTTAATCACTTCAAATGTGGAGATGAAGCCAGCATGTACCTCTGCAACATTGCCCACATGCATAAGATTTAACAACCCAAGAATGGAATTAATGTAAAATATAGACATGTATGTCAGTGACCATTGTTTATTTTTCTCCTCCCCCTCTACCACACACACACACAGACACACACGTGCTCACCCGCACGTGCCCCTGATGTCCTGGGATATGTGTGTTAGATGCATGTCTGTAATATGGAATGCTGTCTTGTGTGTCATTGGTATTGGAACCTTGGATTTTCTAGATATAGAATCATATGATACGCATGTTTTGAAGTTAAGAGGTGTTAACCACAGCATGTGCTATTGCATCTGGTTATTTGGCTTCATAATATAAGCAGGAAAAGTGTTTGGGAGCCTTGGAATTCACATGAATAAGAATCTATATTTCAATTTGGATAGCTATATTCAGACAAGTTACTGCATGAATGTATGGCAGTCTTTTGTGTGTGAGAGTGTTAGTTTCCCACCCTCTTGATTCTTTCCTTTTCATTGGCTG